AAGCAAAGATATCAAAGTCCTTGTGCAAGAAACTCTTAAGCTTCTTTTTCGTTTCTAGTGGCAAATCACTTCCCAATTGTAGTGATCGATGGGACCTTGAGGAACTACGAGGAAGCTCTCCAATTCTTCCACTAGAGTCGTTTGTAAATTGAATTCCATTATACAAAGGTCCAACTATCATATATAGTCATTTCTTCAAAGGTCCTCACTTCCTAAGGGGCATCTATCATCTCGACGTCTTACCCTTGTTTAGGAGGCCGCCTTCTTTAGGTACGTCAACCATTTCGATGTCATGTAACACCATATCGATATCATGGAGCTCAACTTTACTTAGGGAGGACTTCAAGTAACATTCCCTACCATTTGATCACCTCTAACCGTGGTAATGCCATGTTCCATGGGGAACTTTATGCATAGGTTATGGATAGAGGTAATGACCTATAGATCTTTAAGGGCATGTCTTCCCCTTACTCCATGGTAGGTTGACCTACCATAAGGGACTTCATATAGCCCCCGTTTGGTAGCAATTTTTTATCCAAACAAAACAATTTTTTGACCTTTATTTCATTATTCCAACGGTCATTTTTGACTTCTTTACTCATAGGTGGCCCACTTTTCTTTTTAACGGTCAAAAATAAATTCTCATAATTACTATCGAACAGGCTCATAGTGACCAGCTGATTGAGGAGGTGTGCCATTCTACCATAAGGGTAATTATTTTCTTTGGGATGATGCTTAGTTGGTGAACTTGTATAATGGAGGTCATGGGAGTCAGCTTGCTATCCACCATCATCTTGTCATGGGTGACACCAAATAGGATGTTAACGGATGTCCCATTGTCCATCGACATGTGCTTCAACCCATTGCGTGCTAAGACAGTCCTTATCACCAAGGCATCGTAGCCGAGGTAGTGCAGACTCGTTGCGTCTCCTAGGGTAAAGGTGGTGGATTGCACATTCCTAGCCTCACGGGGGGGTTTTTGTTAACTCTGTAGCTAGCCGTCTACGTGAAGGTGATTGACCATTTGGATCAGTTGTGCCTTCTAAGTAAAAATTTAAGACATCCATTTCTCAATCATCTTCTTAGGAAATCTGAAGGTGTCCAACGTGATACATATAGGTTAATCAAGGGAATTGTACGGATACTATAAGTTTAGGTAATTTTGTATTTCTCGCGTTTTAGAAAGACTATTATAATTAATTACATTATCATTTTCAGTTGTTACAATAATGATCATTCGATTAAAAATATTAACATAAAATTTACATGTTGTCGTTAAAAACCAACATGTAACTAGACGACAATATATTACGTCAAGTCAGCAAAGTTGGAGATTTGACAATTGAGGATTAAACACATTCAAATGAAAATAGCATAATTCAACTATAACTTTGGCTAGATTTACTCGATCTAAAATCGTATGATTTAAATTTTCATTTTTAATTTTAATTCTATGTTTTATACTACGATCCTATTTTTAACTCAATCGGTATTTTAGGGATGTTAAGAGCATATTCAATAAAAAAATAAAATGAAAATCTTGTACACATTAAAGAGCATATTTAAATTTAAAGAAAGTAAAATTTTTAAACTCCAACACTATTCTTCATTTACTTTTTTATGTAAATATTTATTGTTTTTCCCTCATCTTTAATATACTCTTTTTACAACCAAATGGGGAGCATTGCAATTCATTTAAAGCATTTAATATAAAATGTATACAAAGCTAAACTCGTTCTCCATTTTAAAATAATAATGCAATCAATCTAGACTAACGACGATCATGAATTTCGGTTGTATTCATTAATATGTCATCTTCAATGTAGGGAGATGAGAATTTAAGATTGCATATCAATGATTACCACTTAAATGCCTTTATTTTAAGCATCAACTCTTTAAAATAAAGTGCATTTTACTTTTGAAGAGTTTATTAGAGATGCTCCAAAAAGTTTGAAGCCAAAAAGAAGAATTATTTTTTGAAGTTTAAGTTCTACAATTTGAGCAACTTAATATAAGGGTAATTAGAACAAAACGTCATTACCTTTCAATGTTATTGTGCAAAACATTATCACCTTTCATTTTCACCCCTACTTTCATCTTTCATTACGAAAAATGTCATTTTCATCCAATTTCTCAACAAAAGAATGTAAAATAATAAATATAACCTCGTAAGGAAATAAAACAAAAAAAATTAAAAAAATTAAAAAAAGTAGTAGTAGTAGTAGTAGTAGTAGTAGTAGTAGTAATAATTAAAGAACAAATTGCAAGTATGTCCAAACGTTTTAAAAATTGCAAATGAGTCCAAATAAATTATTAAAAGAGCAATTAGCACAAAACATCCATACATTTCAATATGATTGTGCAAAACATACATACATTTCATTTTTATTTTTATTTTATCCTTATTTTCACATTACTTTACGAAAATTATCATTTTCATCTATTTTCTCAATAAAAAGCTATAAATAACGAATATACCCTCCAGAACAAATTACAACTATACTCCCAAATTTTTCAAAAAATTACAAACCTCGTAGTCTTCACTTGCCTTTAATTACACATATTCAATATCACTAATCATATAAAAATAAATTTTCTCCCTTTCCAACAATTTTTATTTCAATAATACCACCACGAAAATAAATTTATTAATTTCAAACTAATCTACATGTTATGTGTACATTTAATATACAATAATGCTACTCCTACACACTTGGGTTACAAAGTAAGGTAACAAAGTGATGTGGACGGCCAGGATTAAAACGCTACGGACGACTGTGATTGAATCATCAAAAATAATTGTGAAACATTAGTCTCCAAACTGAAATCCGTATCTGATTTCTCTCTCCCCTGTTATTCTTCCTTCCTCATTTGTCTCTGACTTTCGTTATCTCTCTCCCCCATTATTCTTCTTCATTTTCTCTCTCCTAGAATGGAACCCTTCCCGAAGCACTAACCTTTGGCAGTCGGCACCAGCAGTTGCTGCACCTCCCTCCGGCATCACTATTTATTTAAAGAATGTCACGTCACAAACAAATTTACTATTAGATACGGTGAGAGTTTAGAATAAATCACCTCCCTTGCATTCAATCAACCGTCGAGCCCACTAACTTCACGAAGTTAGATCCGACGAAACTTTAGAGATATGGTTTATTGATCTTTATTGGTTGGGTTATGTTCGATTTTTAGAGAAATGCTGTGAAATGCAAATTGGGTTATATGGTTGCTATAATTTCGGTCTTTGGGTTGCTATTACTAACTTCACGAAGTTAGATCCGACAAAACTTTAGGTATGGTTTATTGATCTTTATTGGTTAGGCTATGTTCGATATTTAGAGAAATGCTGTGAAATGCAAATTGGGTTATGTGGTTGCTATAAATTCGGTCTTTGGATTGCTATCAGATCATTTATTGTATTAAAGGGCTGCTGGGCTGTTGTTTTGGTACTGTCAAACCATGAGTTGTTATGGTGGTGTTCTGTGTATAAGCTGGATTTTAGACCTGGGATTTGAGTTTTTCTGAAGTTTGAAGTCTGGAATTTATGCTATAATTATTGTTCGATTTTCATGTTTGCTGGTTTATTTTACTGGGTTCAATTCAGCAAGACAGAATGTCGTGAACATTTTGTGAAAAACGGGTACTGGATTATGCTGAAAATGTTGACAATTTTGTGAAAAAAAGGGGTACTGGATTATGCTGAAGAATGATAATTTTTCTTTATTTGCTGCTAATCTAAATACATGTATGTCAAGTTTCTGGGATTTTGCTTCATTTTCTCAAATGCCATGAACAAAGACAGCTATTAGTATTTGGAATGCAATTCTTGAAGCTAATATATATCATGTGGATTGCCTGTGTAATTTCGAATACAGTTCTTCTAGACTTTAATAATCATTGTGTGTGTTTATGTATCATGTTAATGCTTTATAGACATCTCAGTAGAATTTATTATAGTTTATGATTAAATTATTGATAATTTCATATTCACTGTCACGATAGAATGCAGGGAAAGAACTCAGGAATTTGCCATGGCTGTAGGGGTGTTGGCACTTCTTTGGCGATTGTCCGATAAAACGCCGATGCCCAGATTGTGCAAGAGGATTTCAGAAGTTTTTTGTGGTGGAAAAAGAAACTCGTAACAAAGGCAAATTCTTCAAATGTTACAGTCAGAAGTGTGGTTTTTGGGATTGGTGCGAACCAGGAGAAGCAATCGGCGAATCTAGTAACGCTAGTGTTACGTTGGCTAAACTAGCGGCACAAAAAGAAATTGATGATTTGTCTCAAACATTAGAATCTCAAGTGCGACTTAATGACGATGAGGAACTTTTGATTTTTGTGAACGTGAACTTTACCATTCGCCATGGAAAACCACCTACCGAACGAGACAATAAGGGAAAGGACAAGACATAGTGTAGTTGGTTAAGTCATGTAATGTCTTTTTTTTGGTGATGTAGTCTTTTGTGTAATATGTATTTTTTTTGGTGATGTAGTCTTGGAAGCATTATTCTGATAGAAATCTGTCTGTGGTGTAATGGAACATTTCAGATTTCTGTTGTTATTCCAGTAGTTATTAATCTGCATATTTGAAGCCATTTAACGTGCATCCACATGTATACTATTTCACATGAGTTTTGAACGTGCCATAACGGCCTTTATTAATCGCTGTAAATTGGAAGGCTAACTCATCATAAAAGCAAAACCATTTGACACTTGAAACATAAGTTAATGCACAAATTAAAATCAAAACTTTCATTACGCAAAATTGAAAGATCCCTTCCAATTGAGTCACATTCAACAGTTTAAACATGACAAGGAACAATTACAAAAGTGGAAAATTTGCAAAAGTCACTATAATAACATTGTGGTCGATCTTTACAAAAGTCAGTGTAATTACAAAAGTGGATACTTTATGAAAGTCACTGTCATTACTTTCGAGTTATCAGTTTTCTGAAAACTGGCTTGGGACATGCATAGGAAAAGGCAACGGGTTGAAGGTTGGACTATGAACTGGGTCGAACCAGATGCTTCCTAAATTGGTATTCCAGCCTGCCTCTGACAGATGTTTCAGTCTGTAACAAAGTATCAAGCAATCAATCAAGAAGCCCATAGCATAAACAATAAAAAACCACATAAATTAAAAACGAACAATATACCGTCAAATTGGGGATATTAATATGCTTCGATATCAGACTCTTTCCTTTTGTTTAGTTTGACCATGCCTACATGTGCACCATAACCACCGATAATTACTACACAACAGGAACTGAATACAAGAGTGACATTAGAATGTACCTTTGATTTATTCGATCTCGCCTCCAACGGGCCTTTTCTACGTTTAGTCCTAGGTGCTCCCTTCCTCTTCGATGTTTTCGGATCCCTTACAATACCGCTTCCTATTTTTTTAGATAGAATACACTATGAAGTGCTTGAATTACTATCGAACTTTGTTGAACTAAGTTCTTTCTTTTGAAGTTGTATCCAATCCATGATCACTCTATACTTCCCTTCATTGTCTGCTGCAAGGTTTGCCACCGCTGCAAACGAATAACGCATATCGTCATACCTCATTTGTGCTGGAGTGGTAACCAAACCATCATAGTGAACGACAACCCTCGTGTGTGCCCTGCTAACATCTTTCCTCCACCTCCGCAAAATGTACCGATCCAGCATGACAGTAAAGTCATTACGTATCAAAACTACAATTGCATGCCTACACAATATTTCCCGAAACTCGAACAGGTGATAACTGCAATTTACTTCACATTTCTCTCTATTAAACCACACCAAAAATATTGTTTTCTTTTGCCGCTCGCCACAGACTATGTCTTCACGTACTTCATACTTCGTCCCCATATGTCCCTCTACTGCAAATATTAGATCGCAATACATTTTTCCCGTAAACTCGGATTGAACCTCTCTAAACTTCGAAATGGTATAGCATAACTGATATTGCTTCTCAATTTCGTATGTTGTTGCACCCGGTAAGACTTGAGAGAATGACTTAAAATTAGCAATAAACTCCTTTTCAACCTTATTCTGTAATGCTCGTTCGTACTGCTCGACGAACTGTTTCAATGATGTTTTTGCATGTACATAACCATTGAAGAAGGTATTCATACTTTCACTTCTTTGTGTCGTTGACATGCCAGCCCAAAAGGTTGTTCTCAGGAAACAAGGCACCCATCGAATTCTGTTCTCGTACAATCTGGACAACCAAACATTATCATGCAACTCATACATTTTGATCATATCTCTCCAACCTTCCTCAAATTCTTTGATAGACTGTGAATCATAAACCAATACATGTACACTCGAAAATATCGAAGCTTTATCCACGTGGTATCCAAATTTTTCTGGCAACTTCTTCAAAATATGCCACAAGCACACCTATGTTTTGTATTTGGGAAAACTATTTCAATTGCATTCTGCATGGCTCTATCTTGATCTGTAATTATTCCATGTGGAGCTTTATCACCCATGCACTTAAGCCATGTTTTGAACAACCAAACAAAGGTATTAGTGTCCTCATTCGATACCAAATCGCAACCCAACAATGTCAATTGCCTATGATGATTAACGCCAACAAACGGGGCGAAGGGCATGTCATACTTATTTATAAGATAAGTTGTATCGAACGTGACAACAGCCCTGAACTCTTTATATGATTGCCTACACCGATTGTCTGCCTAGAAGACATTCTTCAACCGTGAATCATCATTCAAGTCAATACTGAAGAAAAATCCCAAGCATTTTGCTTGCATTTCAGAAAAGTAATAATGTATTGCAGCTGCATCACCCTCACCAAGTCTGAGTCGTTCCACTTGTTCAATGTAGTTACGGCAATCCTTTTCGACATACGTCATATTCTCGTAACCACTTGCTTCAATGACTGCAGAGTTAAAACTTTTATGTAATGGTATTCCTGCTATGTCATTCACTTCAAGCTTCCGTTTTACGTGGGCACTCAACACTCGGTTGCACCGATATAACCTCGACTTAGTAGGACTTGCCTCATGGTTGTGTTCTAGATGGACAGTGTTAAGTTTCCAATAACCATGGATATCTAAAGATGCAGATATTCTAGCTTTATAGCCCATTTAAATTGTTGGCTACGATTTCAGAGAAGTGCTTGAATTATTGCTTTTTCGTCCTTCACGACTGCATGTGAACGTGACAAATTTCAAAACCCTAGCATCATCCCTCGATGAAGTCCTCTTTCTAATTGGAAAACCCACGACATAAGCATATCTCGCATAAAAATCATATACTTCTTTTTCATCATTGAACTTCATGCCAACCTCAGGCGTAGTCAAACTATGTCTTCCTTCCATGTCACATTCCACAACATTCACATTGTCCTCGACATAATCATTTTCAGATTCTGTGCACAAAATTTCTTCCATATTCTCTTCGCCTGCGAAACAGGAACACATCCATTATTTATGCATTCAAAATGCTATATATGAATCAAGACATAGCTCTGTTAAGTGCATATATGTTCCACCAATCTTCCACGGACTTCATCATACATGAAGATTCTTAACTCAGTTATTTACACATGACAATTTTAGCTCAACAGAAACAACAATTGCAAAATTACTTTTGTAGCTAGAATAATGGTAAGAGAATTACATGTCAATTAAACTAGATTAAACATATTCTAGCTCAACATAAACAACCAATTTTCAATCAATACAGAGCTGAAAGTAATTAAACTAGATTGAACATATTCTAGCTCAACATAAGTGATTCGGTTCGGAGCTGCACGATCTATTTCTGTTTCGGTTCTCTTTCTGAAAAATGCAATCACATTGTTAGAAATCTAGAATGACCTCTACATACCAAGAAAGCTAGCCAACTAAGAAGGCTTAAACCACAAGAAAAACGAGCTTTCCCCAAACTATAGATCAACAAACTGTAATGACAAACTATAAGCCAAAAATTGAACAAAAAAGGCCAACAAATTACTCAAGGAGCCAAACTTTGACAGAAACGTAAAGTGAGAAATATAAGAAGCAAAAAATTGATACATACCCATTCAAATTTTTTACCAGGACACCATGATTCTTTTCATTCTCTTTTCTCTGAGTTCTCTCTGCCTGCGATTCCAACACAATGGATTAGAATTGTTTTATGTCGAAAATGAAGCAGAAAGTGTGAATAGAAAATGTCCAGTGATAAAACTCGGGGAGGGTAAGAGAAAAGAATGAGTGAATAGAAAAGTTCCAGTAATAAAGCTCGGGGAGGGTAAGAGAAAAGAATGAGAACCTTCTTTCATAGATACAATCTCACACTGTCAGAGATAAAGCTCGTACTGCCGGACATAAAGCTCGTACTACTGCCAGAGATACTACTGCAATCTCGAATTGCCGAAGGAAATGGTGGTCACAGATACTACCCCGTTCCCGGTCTTCTCTCTCAGTTCTCTCTCCCCTGTTTTAATTGAGATTGACGACCCGGAACAAAACATTATTTCAGTTTGGCGCCTAATGTTCCACAATTATTTTGATGATTCAATCACATTCGTCCGTAGCGTTTTAATCTTGGCCGTCCACGTCACTTTGTTACCTTACTTTGTAACCGAAGTGTGTAGGAGTAGCATTATTGATTAATTCTAGATGGTTTCAAATGAGTATTTCTTATAACGTGACAAATGTAATAAATTAGGGGAAAAATACACTGCAGGCCTACAGTTGCTGAAATCATATGTGCTCGCACTTAAATCTTCTATCTAATTGTTAATTATTTATTTATGTACACTAATACTGAAAAATAAGATAATTTTTATTCAATAAATTCTTCTTTTTAACGTGTGTATTCAATGACTTTAGAATCAGCTTATTCTTCTCGAAATACATTAAAATTTAAAACCAACAAAAGCTTGTTCTTCTCGATATATTTTGTGCGTTAACTTTCTCTCTCAAGATAAAATAATCTAATTTTTTATTTATGATCAAACCATGTCTCCATGAAATATACAAATAAATAAAAACAAAATACAAATTTAGAATATTGTTGACCTCTTTTTTCCAGGGGTGTCATGGGCAAATCTTAAGTTGCACGTGGTCTTTTCCGATTATGGGAAAGAGGTAACTGCGTGCACTTGGACGATCAAGTCATTCAATGTATAGGTTTGAGTGTGAGATGTGCTAAACACGTGAGCCACTAAATGGTGAGGGGTCGAATCCGAGAGAGTTATAGAGAGAATAACATGAGCAAGTTTAAGTTGAGTGTATAAAATTGTATTACTTATAAATGACGTGTGAGCTTTTATACTTGAAGAGCTAGGTGTGATCTGACCGTTTGATGGAAGGACACGTGACCTCATCCCGATGGTTGAGGTTCATTTCCTAGGTGTCAATACATCAATCATAGGCTGGTTAACATTTCATCTTTCTAGAAAGTACCCATTCTAGTGCCTAAGTCTGAACTCTGATTTATAGACCGTCAATTTGACATTGGCATCTACTGCAAACATGTCACGTCAATCAATAGTAGGCAAATTTTGTACGAAACATCTCTTAAAGGAAGACGTGAAGCGAGAGGTGATTTTAATTAAATGAGGATTCTGATTGCCTCAAACTTCTTCCATGCAACATGCATAACGTCTCGTCTAGGCTATAGAGGTCGGCCTCTATATGTCACCTCGTCTGAGGTGTTGTATCACCTCGATTTCTTTATCTATGGCTCACTTTGACCACGTAAGAGGATAATGTGGAGTGCGGACCTATTTGGCTTGCTAGTTGGTGAGCAAGAGTCTTGTCAAAAGAGGCATAATAGATATCACAAAAGATTGCGCTAAATACAGAAGAATTTCTATCTCCTATAAGATCTAATTTTTTTCTACCATCATATGCCAATTTATAAAAAACCTCTAGAAAGCTATATAAATTACAAACAAATTTAAAATGTCATCAAGCATTAACATTAAATAAAGTAATAAAACAATCGCAAGGAATTTAAAATAAATGATCAATTAATTAATTAAAGTGTTAACAGAGTTTCATGTCAACCTTAACTACAAAGTGTTTAGCCTATCGTGTTTTGGTTATAAAAATATAAGATAAAAAATGAATGCATAACCTCGAATAATTAAGAGGAATAAAAAATAAATAAATAAATAAAAAAGGAGGGTTGTCAAAAATATCCAAACTACGTTGAATTCCCTATAATTTTACTCTCAAGAATATTATGTAGCCCATGTTGGATTATCTTTACTTTAATTAATTTCTTATACTTATTTTCAACCATATATTCACTTAATAAAATTTTTTACACGTAAATTCAAAACTTTTCATTACATTTTAATCATATATTCTCCAAAAAAAAAAAATATTATTCAAAACTATGGGGTTGTTTGAGACCCATTTTTCTCAAAAAAATGTATTTTGAAATAGTGTTATGATGGAATATGTGCAGTTAAAAAATAAAGAAAAGTTTTGAATTGACGTATAATATTATTTTATTGAAAATATGTAGTTGAAATAGTGTCAAATCACTATTAAAAAATATATTTTGATGTAAAAATAGGCTCAAACAATATGTTTTTTGAGTTTTAAATTTGCAAATAGGGGCACAATATGGTAAGGAACTCTCTCTCTCTCTCTCTAATATTGCGTAGTAATAGTATGGAATCCTCCTCTATATGACTCACTTGGGTTTGTTCCTTATATAGTCCCTAAATTGTCATTAGAATAAAACTGGTTGGACAGGAATTGGAAATAGGCCGTAAAAATAGGCCAATTTGGCAGATTGTGATTGAGTGTTTTTGTCTTTTTTTTTTCCCTTTTTTTTCTTTTTCTAACTTCCAATGATAAATTGTCAAATGTTTTCTTAAATGAAAATCTATCATTGAACCTGGATATCTAGCATGGTAAATTGTCTTCAAAGTCACGAAAAAATATTACCCAAAGTGTCCTCGAATCTCGAATAAAAAACTGGAGTCCCGATCAACATAAAAGCCAACTGCGGAACCAACATTGAAGAGCAAGTTCTTTCATTTTTTTTTTTTGAAACTATTTTATATAGGCAGACAAAATGGATTAGGGTTTTAAAAAAAAAAAAAAATCATTTTCCTGACAGTCTTATCGTCTAAAGTTGTGCTGTCAGTTCATCAATCTTCGAACATTAAAAATCAAGTTAAAATGGAGTTCTTAGATTGAAATTTCACCACAAATTTCTCTTTCTTGGCCTAGTGACTTTGTGGGATTTGAACTATTTCGTTCTTTTTCTTACCTAGCTTCCTCCACAAAGAAAAAAAAAAGAGGGTAACCGCCTATGAAAGTCTTGTTTGTTGGAAAAAATTCCAACTTTGTGGCCACACATGTACATTTATTAGAATGTGTGGTGCTATTTTAAAGTAAATATAGTCGATAAAGTGATCCATTGGATTTAATTTTGGACTAATGAGTATTAAATTTTATGGGATTAAAGTGTAGAGACCAGAAGGTGTTATTTTGAATTGATGAGGGGCCGATTTGAAATAACTTAAAGTTAATAACTGCCAATAGCAGTTATTTTAAAAGTGGTTATGGTCCCCAATTTGAACGTGATTTTCTTTTGATGATATCTCTGCATCCCCATTAACAGAGACTTTTCAAGAAAACCAAAAGGAAGGAAAATCACGTATCAATTGGAAGATCAAAACCCAATTAAAGCAGTAAGATTCATGGATCAAGGTATGTTTCCGCACTTTTTGTTGTCTCTTTGATTTCAACATGGAATTTATGATTTTATGAAAGGATTTTATGAATATGGTTCCTTTCAAATTTATGCAACAAGTGGTATCAGAACCATCCATTGTTGAAATCTTTGAGAAATTGAAATAATTTAGTATTTTTTTTTTGGTTATTGTTATGGATCTTCCATGATGTTATGTGAAATTTAAATTTCTGCAATTTTTTTTTAAGATTTTCAAATTTAACTATTTGGATTCATTATTGTTGAATTTGAGAATTGTTTAGGATATTATTTATGGTTATAGATCTAGATCCAGTAAAAGATTTTAGAATCTAAAGTTTTGAAATTCTATTTTTTTGGTTTTGGTTTAAAAAAAAAAAAAATTTTTTTTTTACTGGATCTGGCCGGCGGCGGTGTCGTCGCTGGCGCTGGCTGCTGCATTTTGCAGCAGCGTGCAGGCAACAGCCGGGGCACTGCTGCCGGCGCAATGGCTTCTGACCGGCGCCGTATAAGAGAGAGAGAGAGAGAGAGATGCCTTACAGCCGGGTGGTTTTTTGGGGGCGGGGGCCTGGGGGGCAATTTTTTGAAATCTCGGGCCTTTGTTTGAATTTTCAATTAGGGTTTTAAAATTAAAATTTTTAAATTCAGTCCCTCAGCTTTGTTATCCATCCAAGTTGGACCTTAAGGTTATGGGTTTAATAATTCAGCCCCTAAATTTTGGAAAATTATTTAATCTGGGCCATTAAACTTTTGAATTTTGCAATTAAAGTCCCCAAAGTTCATAATTAATTAAAATCAGCCCTTAAAGTTTTAAAATTTTTCAAATTTTGATCCCTAAAGTTTTGAATTATTAACCCTAGGTCCCTAAACTTTCTAAAGGCATCTAATAATGCAAAATTAGTGATTCTCTCTCTATAATTTTGGTACTAAAGACTCCCTTAAGAGGAATAATTAAGATTTAATTATGTGGAACAATAAAATTCAAATATTTTGGTAATTTATTCATAATAAATTAAGGTTATCTAGCATTTTAAATAAACTAATTGAAACAATATGTCGCCAAAGTGACCTCTTTTGTGTAGATTGGCTTATTTGGATGTTTAGATGTGTGTATGTTTCTTCATGCGGGTATTAGTCGGCCCAAAGGAAGGTTAATACTTGGCCGAATTACATACATACTTGTGGTGGTGAATGTGTGACAATTATAAGGTTTCCATGTAAATAATAAATCAATCCAAAGATAGGTTTATTATTTGACAGGAGTTATTGTCAATGTTCGATCACTACACCGAGAATACCACTTGCAATTAGTATTACTGTCCAAAGACTTTATATTAATGTTGCACTAGGTATCTTGAGATGGGGCTTACCATTATTTGAATTTATTGTTTATTAAATATGGATATGAGCATAATTAATTGTTTCTTTCTGTTCTCTCTACAGCTAGTTCATCTGCTACTACAATATCTGCTAATGTCAATTCAATTCCCATACTTAATGGAACAAACTTCAAGGATTGGAAAGAGAACATATTGATTGTTCTTGGCTGCATGGATCTTGACCTTGCACTTCGGGTTGAGGAACCCACTCCTCTTACGGAAGAAAGTTCTCCTGATGAAAAGAGGAACTTTGAGAGGTGGGCTCGCTCAAATCGCATGAGTCTAATGATCATTAAGCGCGGCATTCCGGAAGCCTTTAGAGGTGCAGTATCCGAAGGGATAACTAATGCCAAGGAGTTCCTTGTCGAAATTGAGAAGCGTTTTGTGAAAAACGATAAGGCTGAAACAAGCACGCTTTTGCAAAGCTTGATTTCAATGAAGTACAAGGGTAAGGGAAACTTAAGGGAGTACATCATGGAGATGTCTCATATTGCTTCAAAACTTAAAGGTCTAAAGCTCGAGCTATCTGATGACTTGCTCGTTCATTTGGTATTGATCTCGCTTCCTGCATAGTTCAGTCAATTTAAGGTCAGTTATAACTGTCAGAAGGAGAAATGGTCTTTAAATGAGCTCATTTCATATTGTGTGCAAGAGGCAGAAAGGTTAAAGCAAGAAAGAACTGAAAGTGCTCACTTGGCAAGCACTTCTAAGGATAAGGGCAAGAAAAAGAAGAAGGAATATGAAGCTGCTCCTAAGGGTCCAGCACAAAGATACTTGTTTCTTTTGCCATCAGTCTGGACATATGAAGAAGGCTGTGCCAAATATCACGCATGGCGTACAAAGAAAGGTACACTTCTTACTTTGGTCTGTTCCGAGGATAATTTAGCTTCAGTACCTAGAAACACTTGGTGGATAGATTCTGGTGCTACTACTCATATAAGTGTTTCTATGCAGGGCTGCCTGAACTATCGAAAGCCAAGTGATGATGAAAGATACATCTATGAGGGTAATGGCAGATCGGTGGAAGTTGATGTAATAGGGACTTTTAGGTTGTTATTAAGAACTGGTTGTTATTTGGATTTGAAAGACACTTTCGTTGTACCGTCTTTTAGACGGAATTTAATTTCTGTTTCTTCGTTGGACAAATTAGGTTATTGTTGTTCATTTGGAAGCAATCAGTTTAGTCTTTCTTTAAATTCCAATATTATTGGTATTGGTTCATTATCTGCATATGATAACCTGTATTTGCTTGATATTATTGCATCATATAATGAGACATTGCATGTGGATTCACGTGGTACTAAACGTAAATTAAATAAAGAAAATTCTGCAACATTATGGCACAAGCGCTTAGGTCATATCTCAAAAGCTAGAGTTGAACGACTTGTGTCAGATGGTATTTTGGATTCCCTTGATTTCACCGATTTTGATGTCTGTATTGAGTGTATCAAGGGAAAACAGACCAAAACAAGGAGATTAGGTGCTAAAAGAACTTCAGATGTCTTAGAATTGATACACACAGATATTTGTGGACCATTCCCTACAGCTTCTTGGAATGGCCAACAATATTTTATATCATTCATAGACGATTACTCACGTTATGGGTACCTATATCTCATACATGAAAAATCTGAGTCACTGGACATGTTCAAAACTTTTAAAGCTGAGGTTGAGAATCAACTCAACAAAAGGATAAAAAGCGTTAGGTCTGATCGTGGTGGTGAGTACTACGACAGATATGACGGTTTAGGTGAACAATGTCAGGTAAACAATGTCCAGGACCATTTGCTAAATACCTAGAGGAATGTGGAATCATCCCACAATACACCATGCCAGGATCGCCTAGCATGAATGGTGTAACTGAAATACGAAACAGAACTCTTAAGGACATGGTAAGAAGTATGATTAGTCATTCCACCTTACCAAAATCACTCTGGGGAGAAGCATTAAAGACTGCAGCTTATATTTTGAACAGAGTACCAACTAAGGTTGCTGCTAAAACACCTTATGAACTTTGGACAGGCAGAAAGCCTAGTCTAAAGCATTTTCACATTTGGGGATGTCCAGCTGAGGCTAGGCCTTATAGGCCACATGAAAAGAAATTGGACTCCAAAACAATTAGCAGCTATTTTATTAGTTATTCTGAGCGATCCAGGGGCTATAAATTTTATGATCCCACACTTAAGTCAATTTTTGAAACGGGAACCGCAACATTTTTTGAGGATGTTGAGTTTGGGGAGAGAAATAAGGTTAGAGACATTGTCTTTGAGGAAGAAGTTGAGGAAGGATCGGTTTCGATTCCTACTATTGCTTTTGACAATGTACAGGTTTCTATACCTGTTGTTGATCAAGAAACATATCGAGAACCTCAACCAGACAATGTTGAAGTACCTCCCATCCAAAATGAGGTAATTATTCCAGAAATACAAACTCAACAACCTCAAGAGCCAATACCATTAAGGAGATCCACGAGAGAGAGGAAAAGTACTATTTCAGATGATTTCATAGTATTTCTCCAAGAACATGAGGAAAATAATGGAATGGTGGGAGATGATCCAATCAATTTCCATCAGGCCATGCAGGGTTCTAACTCTCAAAAATGGATTGATGCCATGAATGAGGAGTATAAGTCTATGCAAGACAATAAAGTTTGGGATCTTGTCCCATTACCTGAAGGAGTGAAGCCCATTGGTTGTAAATGGATTTTTAAAACCAAGAGGGATTCAAATGGTAATGTGGAAAGATATAAGGCTCGTCTTGTGGCTAAAGGCTTTACCCAAAAGGAAGGTATTGACTTCAAAGAGACTTTCTCTCCAGTTTCAACGAAAGACTCTTTAAGGACAATTATGGCACTTGTTACGCACTTTGACCTTGAGTTACATCAGATGGATGTCAAGACGGCGTTTCTCAATGGCGACATTGATGAGACAATTTATATGGTGCAACCAGAAAACTTTGTGTTAGGAGACTCGAAGAAAATGGTTTGCAAATTAAAGAAATCCATCTATGGGCTCAAGCAAGCTTCCCGTCAATGGTATCACAAATTTCATCAGGTCATTATCTCATTTGGTTTTGAGGTAAATGTCGTTGATGATTGTGTGTATCACAAGTTTAGTGGGAGTAAGCATATTTTCCTGGTTTTGTATGTTGATGACATACTGCTTGCCACTAACGATATAGGCATGTTGCACGAAACCAAGAGATTTTTATCAAAGAATTTTGAGATGAAAAATCTTGGTGACGCCTCTTTTGTATTAGGGATTCAGATACATCGGGATCGTTCTCGAGGTATTCTTTGATTGTCACAAAAGAGTTATATCGATAAAGTACTTAGGAGGTTTGGCATGCAAGACTGTAAACCAGGTGACACCCCTGTCGCTAAGGGAGACAAATTTAGTCTCAAACAGTGCCCACAAAATGACCTTGAAGCTAAGGAAATGCAGAAGATTCCCTATGCATCAGCTATTGGGAGTTGGGAGTCTAATGTATGCTCAAGTATGTACACGCCCAGACATAGCATTTATTGTTGGAATGCTAGGCAGATATTTAAGCAACCCTGGGATGGATCATTGGAAGGCAGCTAAAAGGGTTATGAGGTATCTAAAGAGAACAAAGGATTATATGCTCACATATAGCAGATCAGATCAGTTAGAGACCATAGGGTACTCCGATTCTGATTTTGCTGGATGCCAAGATAGTAGAAGATCCACATCAAGTTATATTTTTCTGCTAGCTGGAGGAGCTATTTCCTGGAAGAGTACCAAACAGACACTCATAGCTTCTTCTACCATGGCAGCAGAGTTTGTAGCATGCTATGAGGCATCTAATCATGGAATATGGCTGCGAAATTTTATCACTGGGCTGCGCATTCTGAATGGCATAGAAAGACCACTAAAGTTGTATTGTGACAACAACTCAGCAGTTCTATATTCTAACAACAACAGGAGCTCATCTAAATCAAAACATATTGACATTAAATTCCTGGTTGTGAAGGAAAGAGTACAGAGTGGACAGATTTCTATAGAGCACATTGGAACAAACTCCATGATTGCGGATCCGCTTACTAAGGGATTACCACCCAAGGTCTTTCATGAGCACACCGCTCATATGGGTGTTGTATTTTTTGAGGATATCATGTTTTAGTGGGAGTTTGTATTCTTATTGCTTTATATATGTTTAGTTCTTTGAACACATTTATGTATTTGGATATTTTCTGTACAGAAATAAAGTATTCAGTTCATTCCACTCTGTTATTATGTTCAGTACTGATCTCACTTAAGAAATAAGGTTGGACCAGTTGGAAATAGATATGTTCGGATCACATAACATGTAATTTCCATGCTACACTCCCATAATTGATCTATGTCATTTGGTTGTATGGGTGTACGTGACCATTGATGGATTTAGTCACGCTAAATGTGACGAAAATCACTTTGATCCTACATCGATGTAACTAATGGACGAGATTGTTTGGAAATACCTTTAATAACTATAGCACAATTTTGAGCTCATAAGTCTGTGTACATTTATAATGTAACATATTTGGCCCAGTGGGAGATTGTTGGAAAAAATTCCAGCTTTGGGGCCACACATGTACATTTATTAGAATGTGTGGTGCTATTTTAAAGTAAATATAGTCGATAAAGTGATCCATTGGATTTAATTTTGGACTAATGGGTATTAAATTTTATGGGATTAAAGTGTAGAGACCAGAAGGTGTTATTTTGAATTGATGAGGGGCCGATTTGAAATAATTTAAAGTTAATAACTGCCAATAGCAGTTATTTTAAAAGTGGTTATGGTCCCCAATTTGAACGTGATTTTCTTTTGATGATATCTCTGCATCCCCATCAACAAAGACTTTTCAAGAAAACCAAAAGGAAGGAAAATCACGTATCAATTGGAAGATCAAAACCCAATTAAAGCAGTAAGATTCATGGATCAAGGTATGTTTCCGCACTTTTTGTTGTCTCTTTGATCTCAACATGGAATTTATGATTTTATGAAAGGATTTTATGAATATGGTTCCTTTCAAATTTATGCAACATTGTTTGCAGGCGTACAACCTAATCTATACGGACCAAAGAGCAGTGAAACTTCCAAGTCCCAGCCATGGTTGCAAGAAAGCTTGCCGGGCTGCAGTCCGCATTTTTCCCAGATATGCAGTTCGGTTCCTAAACGTATGAATGGCAGTTTTGATTTTTGAAATTCATGCACGTATAATTTTCAACGGTCTACCATTTTAATTCACAATTTTGAATTGCAATTCATGTTTTGTGTTAAATTTCAAACAACAATGCATCATGTACATCTTAGTGTACAATTTTGTGTACACTTCACCAAGTGTCGATATCCGATTTGACAGTTAAAAAAAAAAAAAAAGAAAAAACTTACTTTTTATCAATCACGCGTTGTCAACTCGGATGATGTACATGATCTATGAAGCATTGTTGCATATACTTATCGCCTTTGTACCATTTTAGTCCTCAAAGTTTCTCAGTTAAATTGTGCTGCTCGTTTTTACACTTTTTTGGTCCATTTTTTCTTTTTATTTAATTAGAGTGGAGTGTAGATTTGTCTTTTTATACTATCTTAACTATCAAACTGAATGAATTTTGAAGATGGAAGAACGCTGCTAACAATCACACGTCCGGACAAAATTCATAGATTTCTGTTTGTTTTGAATTGACTAAGAGTTTTTTAGTATGTCATTATATTGTGAAATGAAGAATCTAAGTGTGGAGCTTGTCAGGAAATTAGAGCATAAATTTTGAACAAAGATCTACACAGATACACCGTCGAAAATATAATTGAATTTGAAATTCAAGCATATTAGGTATACAACATTTTTTACGCTATCTTTGACAGTTCTCATATCACGGATAAGCGATTAAAATAATTGTGAAACCCGGCTGTCAAAAAGAATGTACGGCATCTGATGCTGTGCACTCAGCCATTTTCAATATATTAATGATATGAACTGCGTCCCATATTAATTCACTGACTCTCTCTCTCTCTCTACTTTTCTGGTATTTGATTTCCAGAGCTATAACCTCCATTTCCGCTTTCGTTAACTTATCTATCTATCCCCATGTCATCGGACGAAGATGAACCGTGGACCCGTTGGCTTTTCTCTCCTGAGTCCTATTACGCAAGTGAACTTATCGATGAACGGTTCAGTGGGCTCATCAATATTGTGGTCGAGTATATATCAAGATTGTCGCCCCATCATGAAATGTTTGTATTTGATATTTCACACGGTCTTGAAGAATATATACAAAGAGATAGAAGAGACTTCATGGATATTGATAATTTCGGGGACCTTTACCAAAAAGTAATGCTTTGTGGGCAACAGCTTAAGGTTTTCTTCAATGTCCCAAACCAGACTATCCTGTCGAGTGTTACTCCTACTCTCGACCCTAATGAAGCTGCTGCAGTCCTAATCAACTTTTTTCTCCTAATGGTAGAAGCCATCCTACGTTTTGAGGAAGATTTAATTGATTGTGTAAAGGGTTCAATCGAAATTCTCCGGACGGAGCTTGAATTTCTTATTACTTTTCTTGGTGATAAAGCAATGCATTTGCACCCGACCGAGAATATAGTGATCGATATCGAAGCTGTGGCCAATGAGGTAGGAAGTTTCTTTTATTCCTTGTTTTTCACGATTATTGTATTCACCGCAAATAGTAGAGTGGAACCTACCAATAGTACAATAAATGACATCGAAGCTGTGATCAGGAAGGTAAAACGTTACTTGTGTGTCCCGAATCACTTATGGTATGACCTTCTACATCCTATGAGAATTCTTTATTGGCTTGTTGTAAATTGCCCCCCCTGGGGTATGGAACAAAGGATTATTCGGCGCTATGAAGGGCTGTGTATAGGAAGGGATATACCATTGCAAGACACTGAAGATATCAAATCTCTGTTACGAAGTTTCATACATTTCTTCATTTACACCGAGACTAAAACATTGAATCTTGCACTTTCATATTTGTTAAGGAAGTTTGATATCTTGAAAACAAAGATCAAGAAGCACTGCAACACAGTCTCGAAGATGCCGAGTGATATGGCTCCAAAGACTTCTGTGGTTTCACCCTTCATTGTTGATTCCGTTCTTGATGATCTCATGGACCTAATAAATAACAAGTCTGACAAGATTGTTGGTGTGAACAATCAGATTGTAATGCTTCATGAGGAGCTAATGTTATTGGGATCTTCTATCAAGGACGTAGCGGTGCAGCAGGAAGAAGAATATGAAGAACTTGTGATTCGAGCTGGAGAAATGGCATATGAAGTTGAATATGTTATAAACTCATTTCCTCATGTTTGGTATCTCGCCCTCCGGCTTCCTCAACTCATTGAGAAGATTCAGCTTTTTACGATGGTTATCAAAGAAATAAAAAATAATGTTGGTGCAGCTGGAACGCCAGAAGTTGCAGAGTATCCGGATGAACAAGTAGAATCGCAATCAAAAAAATCTCCCGTTTTGGAAGACACTATTGTTGGGTTTAAGAAAGTGGCAATTGAAATTGCAGAACAACTTGTTAGAGGAACAGTCCACCTGCAAATTATTTCCATATTTGGGATGCCTGGACTTGGTAAGACCACTTTGGCAAATAAACTGTACAATGATCCCTCTATTGTCTATCATTTTTACAAGCGTTCCTGGTGTGTTGTTTCCCAAACATATAATAAGAAAAATGTGTTGATTGAACTTTTGAGCTCAATAACTCAAGGTAAGAGAGAGACATTTATGAATATGGAGGAAGAAAGTTTGGCCGAAAAAGTGTACAAAAATTTAAAGGGAAGGCGATACCTTATTGTGATAGATGATATATGGGATGTCAATGTGTGGAATGATTTGAGAAGGTATTTCCCAGATGACGGAATTGGAAGCAGAATCTTATTCACCACTCGGAATAAAGAAGTTGCTTCAAAAGCTTCTTCTTATAGTGTCATAAATGTACTTCCTTTTCTGTCAGATGTTGAATGTTGGGAATTACTACAACGGAAAGTCTTCCAAGATAAAAATTGTCCCCAAGAATTGATACACATTGGGAAGCAAATTGCAACAAATTGTAGCGGCCTACCACTTGCAGTGGCCGTGATAGCTGGAGTTCTTGCGAATATGGAGAAGAAAGAACACTTGTGGCTGAAAGTTGCTAGAGAATTTAGTTCATATATATCCAAAAACCCAGACAACTGCATTCAGATATTGGAACTTAGCTTTGAGCATTTACCAATGCATTTGAAGCCATGTTTTCTTTACTTTGGAGCATTCGAGGAAGACAAGGAAATCTCAGTACGAAAGTTGATATGGTCATGGGTTGCTGAAGGATATATAAGAACGGAAGAGCAAAACTGCTTAGAGGATGTTGCACTAAAATATCTTATGGAACTAATTGATAGGAGCTTGGTACTTGTTGTTAAACGAAGATCTAACGGAGGAGTAAAAACATGTAAGATTCATGATCTATTGCATGAAATGTGCTTGAGAATAGCTGAAGAAAAAAAATATTTGAAGATGGTCAAATTGTAAGTTTACTATTTCTCTTCTTTTTTCTCTTTCATTTTTTTTTTTTTTTTTTTTGGCCTGCTAATAATGGTGATTATCTGATGATCGTACCAATGATGTGATTATGTTGTTAACAGTTATAATGATGATCCACGGTTCTTTTCTCAAGTATTGATGTGCAAGCAACAACATTGTCTGAGTATTGACTGCAAGTCATTTCCATATCGCTCACTAGATATTGACCTGCTTGAACTCCGTCCACGTGTTTTTGGGTTGCCTAAATTAATCTCACGCAGCTTCAAAGATCTTAGGTTCTTGGAGTTCTTGGATTTTGTCACAGGCTCGGAACATCATGTCCCGTTAGGAATTGAACATCTGCCACCAATGGAGAGCTTTCACAGACTAGAATTTCTTGTTTTGGAGAATACACATCGAGTAGAAATACCTGAGATCCTTCTTAAGATGGTGAGCTTAAGACACATGCATTTCAGTGGCGGTGCATACTTCAATGCCTCTTGTCGTCAGCAAGCAACTGAGGATGAAAGTTTCCTAAGAAATAGTAACCTACAAAGTATTTCTGTACTTTCAATTTCAGATGAAACAGATGAGAAGATTTTGAGATGTTTACCCAATCTTCGTAGACTGAAAGCCAGGGTTAGATATTCACTCAATCATTCTTTCGACTTCCTTAATCGGCTCGAATCATTGAAGTTATTACCTGGTCAGTATGATGTGCGAGATTCATGTTCCACTTTGATGAGTCTGCCCTTAAATCTCAAACAATTGACTCTAGTTGATGTACACATATCTCCAGAACAAATGGAGGTAATCGGGAAATTGCGGTGCCTTGAGGTTCTCAAATTAGTACAGGTTACCTTTGAGGGAAAACAATGGGACACGAGTAAAATTGAATTCCTACAACTTAAATTCTTGAAACTTTGTTGGGTACAAATTGCAGAATGGAATGCCTCAAGTGATAATTTTCCAAGACTTCAACGACTAGTTCTGCAAAATTGCTACAAGTTGAAGATGATCCCTTCCAGTTTAGGTGATATTCTAACGTTACAGAAGATTGAGGTACTCTGGTGCGCGAAAGCTATCAGAGAATCTGCCAAGCAAATTCTGAAGGAACAAGAAGAAAATGGAAATGAAGAGCTTAAAGTCATAATCATTGAATGGTAAACAGAGCGGCAGTTTTTGCTGGTATACTATGTTGCAGCGTTGCTCTAAGAACTCCCTTTTCGCTTATTTAATTTGATTTTAAAATAATTTCTTTTTTCTTGCAGGAGAGATTAACTTCAGCAGCCTTGTGAGATATTTCAGATGGTAATAAGAGAGCTCTCCTCTTTTACTCTTTCCCATTCTCATCTAGATCCAGGTATTGTGTGTAATACTAAAAGGAAAACATCAAAGAATTTCTAATGTTTTTTCGCCTCGTTTTGAAATTAAGGTTGGCTCTATTTTATGATCCTGTCGATGCTATTCTATGAATTTCTATCCCATAAGTTGCTTTTTTTGGGGAGTATTGATTCTGTATTATTTAAGCTTTTTAAAGTGCTTGACTATTTTGAAACACGTAGGACTAATATGATAACCTTAAAAGAGACTCAAGAACATAGCAAGTTGAGGAATAAACTTGCTTCATGTCGCCTGGAAATTGACTTATATGTGCATGAGTTGCATATTGATCATAGTTCATGCATCAATCAATTTGTTTAGTATATGAATTTTGCAAAAACATTACTGCTTGGCAGAATTCAATTCTAATTCCATCTGTAAAATTAAGTTTAAAAGATAATTTATAAATTCATTTTGAATTGATTTTATTCTCGAATTCTTCAAGTAATATTATGGCATATGTAAACATCTAAAGGATTTTTTCTTCCATCATATTCAGATGTTGTAACTAACAAAAATTCAACCATGACATGAAAAAAAGGACGATTATTGATCAGAGTAATATTACATGATAATTAAGGAAAACATGTTGGTCATTACATTCTCAGACAATTTTCCCTCTCAGTAGAATAGATTTACAGAGACAACAAGAATAATGTAGTGTAGTAGAAAGTTTAGGTGTTGCTGATGTTCTAGAGTAATTTGGGTCTACTGTGAACAAAGCCACAGGTGCTCAGTCTACGTTAGAGTCATTTTACCTTGCAGTTTTATCTAAGTAAAGGCTCACCCTGTTGTCCATTCCTGTTTGGGCCCTTTATTCGATATGTCATTCGAGTCAAGTTTTGCACCTCTTTACATTGTACTGTGATTTTATGAAGAAAATTGTTTTGAGTAGATAAGAAGCTGAAGTTTCTATATTCATTGATGCTGTTAAATCTGGCATTTTTAGCAGGAAGTTTGAATGTTCGTTGTTTCTTTAAGTTGATGCAGAACATTCATTTCATATGCTGGTGCTTGCTTCAGTCAATTGATTTGCATCTCCATCCTCTTACCACTTTTTCTTCTCTTGCTTGTTAATTTGGGAGTTCTTATTGTATTTCCTTCCATTTTTGTTTCTCCTCGAACATATTTTGGGCGCAAAATTAATTGTAGTTTATACGAACGTGTGCAGTTTAGTCCCCAATTGTATGAATCACATTTTTTGCTCTCTGAACTTTCAAACATGCGTAACTTTTGATCCACCACTTCAAATTATGATTGGTCTTTTGATCCACCACTTCGAATTATGATTGGTCTTTGCGTCAAACTCCAAATTCAATTATTTTCTTGCATGTTCCAAACTTAGGTTCTTGATTTCACATTTTTGGTTCTTTTATGTCTATGTTCCTGTTTGGTTTAGATAAAAATTAGATTGGGCTTTTGCGTCAAACTTCAAATTCAATTATTTTTTTAATAGTGTATCATTTTTCTATGGAGATGCTTATACAAAATTTATGTTGTAATTTTCTCACATGTTCCAAACTTAGGTTCTTGGTTTCACATCATGTGGTTCTCTTATGTCTATGTACCTGTTTGGTTTAGATAAAAATTAAATTTTTAGTAACTTTTGATAAAAAAAAAAAAAATAATAATAATAATAATAATAATAATAATAATAATAATAATAATTGAGGAAATGTATAGTTTAAAAATTGTGGATACCAAGAAATGTGTTGTTAAAATTAATTGTTTAACTTTGATTTAAATTTAAATTTACTTTTTTAGATTAACCAGGGCTAAATGTCCTTCCTTTAGCATCAGTCATCTTCAAATTTGTGGTTTAACATATACATTATATACACACTAATATAAGATAACCACTTAAATAATCAGATATTTAATAAATTTAAGAATCTAAATAAGCGTGTAAAAAATTTAAGAGTTTGATTATGAGTTGATTTTACAATATAATCGTAAAATCTTATTGAGTAAGACTGGATCATCTTCATGAACAATTAATATCATTATCTTTATTAAATTATGAATAATATTAAATTACGAATATAAAATTACGAAACAGAATTACAAATCTTATATTATCTTCTTTCAATTATGCAACTATTAGATTGTTCTTCCAAAAATAACATTTTTATCATTTTTTTCCTCCAAATCTTAAATAAATAAATCCGTTATTTTTTTATTAAAATTAATTATATTACCACCACAAAATTTACTTTTACACTACATTATAATCATGTCACAATTAAAATATATTTTCTATAAATACACCACTGTTTTGAATTATATGTTTATCAATAAATAACTATTACATTCATGCAGTCCTTCCCTAATTTTTCTCTCTCTATATATATATGGGGTGTGGTTATCAATATAATATACACAAATTTATTGACTTTCTGGCTTTATTATAACACGTTATGATTTTCTCTAGGGGCAGAGCCAGAATGATTTATCAGAGTGGGTTGAAGTTTAATTTTTTTTCAGTGAACTCATACAATAAAAAATGCTTTATGCTCACGAGATTTAGTTTAAGAAGTTAAACTCATGATGCTCATGACAAAGTGGATCAGAATATATTTTCAGACACTCATGACAAAGTTCTAACATAATAACATACATTTCATGATTGAAATAAATGTGTGTGTGTGTGTGTGAAATAAAGTACCTAATTTGATAATGAGTTATTTGTGTATCATGAATGTAAATAAAATAAATATGTAATTGTTGTAGAACCTTAAACTAAATTTGAATAATCGAACATTGGTATTGGGTTGAAACTGAAGCTAGTTGGGTTAATTTAATTTTTGAGTTGGACTAAATTTTTATTCCCTTTGATTTCAACATGAATTTGGACTAAGATCTACATTTTTCATAGACCAATTTTCTTATGGGCTAGGGCGAGGTTGGGCTATAGCCAAGTCAAGCCCAGCCCCCATCTTCATCGGCCCTCGATTATCTCAAAATCAAAGTGAATTAGTTAAAATGTAATAATTTTTGTAATTATAATTATTTATCACTTTTACCGAAATAAAAGCACTTATGCATTATAATATTTTGTCTATTAATTCTGTGGCAATCAATTCACGAATACAATATTTATTTATTTATAATCAGTTATGTCTCTTTATTTATGCATGATTTCTTTTCACGAATCCAATATTTGACCACAATAACGAATCCAATATGTGCTTTATTAGTATGCATAATTTCTTTTCACGAATCCAATATATGACCACAATAATGAATCCAATATGTGCTTTTATTAGTATACGTGATTTCTTTTCACTGCCAGAATTTGTTAAACCTTAAATATGACAACAAATCAATTTGGTAATTCATGTCTCATTTAATTCGTGTTTTTTAATTAAATTTTATATATAAACTCATGTTCCATCTGTTTGGTAATTATTTTTTATGTATAAATTCAATTCTTGTCTGTATAGTAATTAATATTTTTAATCTAATTAAATACTTTTAGATGTACTTTTATAAACTTTAAATTTATAATTCATCGCATCGTTACTTCCGAAATAGCACAATACTATAATTAATATATAAGAAGAATGTTACTCGCACTTGAGGAGCATAAATTACAATTTTCAACATTTCAGAAAAATATTTATATGTTTCTCTTGATGAAGTAATGGTAAAATATAAAGTATAACTCTGTAAATAATTCATGGCTTCTGAAGAGCTAATGTTTATAAATAATAATTTATTGTTGCTCTGAGAAAAAAAAAGTATTATTTTCTCCTCAAGAGCATGAATTATAATTTTCAATATTTCAAAAGAATATAGATCTTGAAGAATTAATAGTAAAATACAATGTGCTCTCGAATTAGCACACGTATTGAAGAATATATCATTTTGAATTAGTGCTTATATCTGAATTAGAACATATAACTCATGCCATGTTGATATTGATTAGTTTGACTAGTTGATTGATTATTATATGATTATATAATTTTTAATCATATTCTTTGAAAATTAATTGTATTTTTTTATTTTATTATATAGTTACTCAAATAGCAAACATTACGAAATTCAAGTTGAATTGCAAAAATACATGTTTAGTTGACAATAAAACTACACATACTGTTATTCAAAACAAATATTTTTTTTTAACTTAACATTGCCAGAATTGTTAAATGCTCCAGACAACTCGTATTGTTTTATCAAATAATATAAAATTAAGTATTGATGCACTATATTTCAGCAAATTTAGAAGAAATTTGCTTAATTTTAAAGATATATGCTACAATAAATATTACATTGAGACGAATCAAAAATTATCCCGAACCCGAAATTCGTTGAATCAAAAAATTTTATACGTTGACATGACTAGTTTGACCATCACTAAATCAACAATGATGCAAAATATTGTTTTGAATAAATATTAACTTTAATTCAATAATTTCTATTTAAAGCTTGTTCTCTTTAGCTAAAGTTGGACTAAATTCCTATATTTCTGAAAATTAATTAGGGTGATTTATGCGATTCAGTCTTCTTTCACGTTGACCGTCTAGATATTATTTGTATCTTATAGATTTGATACATCTATTAGATGATTGCATAATATTCCCAACCTGAAATTCGCAAAATTACTATTTACAAGTTTAATCATGAGCATATTTTCAGATTACACAATCAAGATAGTGTGACTTGTTAATGTTAGTGAGTCTAAATCTCAACATTTTAATGAATATTAGTTGAGATCGCATTAAATGGTTTAACATTATTATTTGTTGTGCCTCAAAATTAATTTATACCATTACTATTGAGAGCAAAGTACTTCCCAATTCTCTTTAGGGAATGCTATTCGTATCATGTCAACATCAAAATTTTTCCCTCCATATTCGGCTTATAGTGAGAGCTTAATTTTTTTATCTAAATATTTTGATAGTGAAATATATGTACAATTGATCTACAGCAATACACTACAATGGAAAGTAAACAATACTTAGCAAAAATGCATAGTTTTAACTCTTATACAATATAAGTCCTAATGGGTGATATTTTATTATATGGTTTATTGATTGTCAATTTAATTGGACAATTCTCTAAGCATTATAGGTAGAAATTACAAAGTTGTAAACAATGTACATATACATCATTATATTTTCTAGA